GAGCCGGGAGAACGGGGGGGGGAGAGCCCACCCTGTGCATGCTGATGCAGCTGACCGTGGGCCTGGTGCACCTCGGTTATTGAATTTTTTATTTGACCCGGAGGCGGTGTTGGGAAGCAATCGGGCAGTCTGTATGTCCACAGGTGATCCTGTGCTGCCCAATTCTTCCATGCCAAACTTTCGTCGCTTTGTACTTCAGTTATTTTGTGGTTCGGGTCTATCCACTTTACTGTGAAGGCCGCGATCAACTTTTCCTTACTGTCTTGGTCAGGGGCTGCACTCACTTTTTGTATTAAGTCTTTGCTGACTTTCAACACATTTGCCCTTATGACCTCAAGCAGCTCTGCTTTGGCCTGGTGAAAATCAAAGGCCTCTTCTTGGTGTTCTGTTGAGCACCTCATCCTCCAGGTGACCATGAGAATGACCAGTCTCATGTGCTCGAAAAAGTTTTGTTGGAAGGGTGTCCAGGAGGAAGGAAAGCTTCGTTTTTTCCCCAGCAGGATAAGGGCAACATTCCATTGTGTGAGCTCGTGCCACATGGCATCCCACCATTGCCAAACCTGCATTGCCATGGGGCACGCCAGCAGGCAATGTTCCAAGTCAGCTCGTCTACGCTGCGCACCGTCTCCACAATGGAAACATATTGGAGATAAAACTCTCATTTGTTCTAAGTTAGTGCGTGAGGTTATCCAGTCCGGTGTCGGTAGGCAACGATGTAAAATCTGCCACTGCAGCGCCCTGTATGAAGTTGGCATTATATGAGCATATGTGGTCCAGGGGATGTGATGTAGCTCCCCATATTGTAGCGGTGAATCTCTTGTCCACCGAGTTTAGATCACGGAAGTGGAGGACTGTGGTTTGTGGGTGTGTTTGTAACCCTCGCGTACCGAGTATTGCCAGATTGGTGTGGGTTTCCGGCCTTTCCAGTCCAATTCGTCTGGGTCGAACGCGAGTGCTTCCACCGGGGTTGACATTTCATAGGCAAAGTAGCCTGTATCATCGTCCCCTACCACCCTCACCCTGATCAAATCATCCGTTGGGAGCCACCTATCCAGTTTCGGGTCCCTTTTCAGGGGGGCCCAACGTGGCCCCGGGACTTCTGGTTCGTATGCCTGCAGGTGCACCTGTTGCCCTGTGCACTGCGCCACCCTGAAGATGGTCATGGGGATAGGGTTGAGAGTGTTCTGCGTTACCCAGTCCAGGCTACTTATCGTGGGACCTTCTTGTAGGGCAGCGACCCACGAAAGCGGGACTGCCGTGTGGATAAGGTCCAACTTATCCTGGCTTTTTCTGATGTATTTCAGGTTTGGCTGTAGCTGCTGCACAGTCTTCCATACCCCTCTCTGGTTGTCCCATAGGTCTCCCACACAGAAGAGGCCGTTTCTCACCCATGTGAGCCAGGTGGAGTTGGCGGCCATGGAAAATGGCGAGCCTGTTGCATCGCATATGTCGGGGTTGCCAAACAATGGCTGCCGCCATATCTCTTGCCATCTCAAAGGGGGCGGTTTCTTGGCTGGGCCAATTTCCCTCCACAATTGCAGTACCGCGGTCCACAATGGGTTGTATTTAAGGTCCCTTCGCACGTTGTTGTGAGCTGTCCCGTCGTTCTTGTGGTGTGGGGGGCCAGGCATTGACCAGGCCTTGTTTGTCAACCATCGGAGGGGGTGAACTGGGGCCTCTGGGTGGGAGGGAGGGGCCAAGTTCGCTAGCTGCACATATGCAAGCGGCAGCCAGGGTACGTTGTTTGCCATCAACAGGCGAATGATCACTTTGAAGATTAGGGCCTTGATCTCGTCTCCCAGGTCCAAGATGCCCAACCCACCCACTCTCTTTGGTTGGGCCACGTACTTCCAGGCCACTCTCTTCAAACATTTCGTCAGGTTGTGATCATTTCTCCATAGGTACGCTGATAACGCTGCCCGGAGTTGCCCGAGGTGTTTCTTGGGGATTTCCCAAAAGGCCATTTTGTACCCAGATGGTAGATAGAATAGCGTTATTTATTGCCAGCGCCCTTCCCGCTAGCGATGTGTGGAGGCCATCCCACTTCGCCAGTTTTTGCAATGCCAACTGGACGAGTGCCTCCGGGAAATCGTAATGAGTGTCTAACGAGGCCCATACATTGTTGTAAATATCGATCTTGAACGAGGAATGTCTAGTAAGAGTGAATCATCAGCTCGCGCTGATTACGTCCCTGCCCTTTGTACACACCACTTGTCGCTCCTACCGATTGAATGGTCCGGTGAAGTGTCTGGATTGCGGTGATCTCGGCGGTTTGCCGCTGGGGGTGCTGTGAGAAGTTCATTGAAAGTGATCATTTAGAGGAAGGAGAAGTCGTAACAAGGTTTCCGTAGGTGAACCTGCGGAAGGATCTCACTTTCTCGCAATTCTCGCCTACCATTGCCGAGCCTCTCGATCATTCGGAAGGAGAAGTTGACCGCGGCGATGTCAGGATTGCATTTAAAGCCTGAATCTGGACGCGTTCTTGGGGAGGTGTAGAAAGTGGCTATTGATCTGCTTTTCTGCATGTCTGCGTAAAACACATCCAGATTAAAACGCTTAATCCAACCCTCTTTGGTAGTCGCCCACAGACCAATAAGATTTTTTTTTTTTAATTTTTTCCCCCAATAAGAATTTCAGTTCTTGAGGACACAGACCATCTGGACGGGACAGCCACCTTTCAAGAGTAGGTGCTTTTCAGTCGAGTTGTGCGCGAACGAGGGCATGCACAACAAGGACTTTTCGGACTCAGCTGTGGACGTGATTGCGGTCAGATGCATCCACGTTCTGCTGTAATGGCGGTCAGGTACATTGAGAGTTGCGCTAGTGAGGCGAGTGATCCAATCGGATCTTGCCGACAATGCGTTAGATGATTCGTGCTTTTTCTTTTTCTTTTTTTTTCCTCCGGATTCGATTCGTGCTTTTTTGGTTCTACGAGGCGGCAGCCGTTTCATGCCTATTTCCTTCCTCCCGACGAAGAAAGCAGGAAGCTTCAGAAGGGAGTGGGTGAAGAGCTTTGGTGTGGTATAAAGCGCGGCGGAGTCTCGCCGATGGTTCGATCAGTAGACCGCTGGTCGACAGATGTATAGAGGGATGCAGAGATAGAACGGGTTGGAGGGATCGGTTTGAGATCCCCGTTTGAAGAAGAGCGGGAAACAGGGAACGGCCGACGAGTACTCTGTCAATTCGCGGCGGCAAGCTTTTGGCGGGGGCGGGGTTTTCGCGAGACGGCGGGTGGGTTGAGAGGGAGCGGCCGAGCAGGAAATGCTCGTGTGCAGAAGCTGAGGTCTAGAGACCGAAGGCATATCCAACGCTTTCGAAGATGGCGGCTCCAAAACCCTCGTGCGATCTTTCCGTGTGCTTGCCAGAGGCTACTGATGGTCGGTATAGCTGGATAGTCGTGGCGGGCGGGATTGTGGCCTTCACGTTCGCATGGGCAATGGGAGCGAACGACGTGCCAAACGCGTTCGCTTCGGTGATCACTTCCAACGTTTTATCATTCAAATGGGCAGTGGCAGTTTCGTCAGTATTCGAACTCGTCGGAGCTCTGCTGATGGGCACGAAAGTGACAAGCTCCATCATCGAAAACGTGGTGAAATGGGAGGAGTTGAAGCACAGGGCTAGCTTGATAATGTGGGGATTAACCTGTGCGCTGACAGCTTCAAGCATCTGGGCAACCATAGCCACGTTCTACGCCTGGCCGATCTCGACGACGCACACGATCATAGGAGCGATGGTGGCACCCTTACTCGTGATGAATGCCAAAGACTCGATCTATTGGACAGGAAAGCGCAAGAAGACGGAGACAGACGGAACCTGGGAGGGGCTACCAATTTCTCCCGTCCTCGGGATCGCAATATCGTGGGTGTTATCTCCTGTCCTGGCGGCGACCGTAGCTGGCATCTTCTTCGGACTCATCAAGCGCTTCATACTCCGTCGTCAGAATTCAGCGGAGCTCACTATCAAGTTCCTGCCTTTTACATCTGCGTTGACTGCCTTCGTGATTGTGCTGCTGGTGATGTTTTCCTCGAACTCTTGGCTTAGCGACGTGCGTGCCTGGCAGTCTATCCTGATAGCGTTGGGACTAGCGTTGGCGGCGCTCATGCTTGGCTTCTTCGTCGGGGTACCGTTTGCAAGGAAGAGACTGAAAAGATACGACAGTCTGCGAAGGCTCGAAATTGAGGCGGAGCTGGGGGAGGCGGCGGCGGCCGTCGGTTCATCCCAAGAGAGGCAGCTGAATGAGGGGGGGGCAGAGTCCGGAAGGAGAAGGGAGGGTCGAGACCCGGAGGCGGCGGGAGATGCGCCTTCGGCAGGCAGTAGCTTCAAGTGCGAATTCGCTCAAACCGGCTATGGCGGTCAAGACGAAGGCGGCGATGGAGGTCGTGGCCATGGCAGTGCAAAAAAAGGTGTTTCCTGGGGTTTCGGAGGACAGGTAGTCTTCGATGAGCACACTCTTCGCCTCCACGCTCTTTCCGAGAAATTTAATCCGCGAACAGAGGAATTATTTCAGCTCTTTCAGGTCCTTGCAGGTTGCGCGATGGCGTTTGCTCATGGCTCTAACGACGTGGGAAATCCTATCGGCCCTTTCGCCGTCATTTACTCTATACATCGTGATGGGGATAAATTTTTTGAACCCAGTTTCAAGGTACCGGTGAAGATATGGATGCTGGTACTTGGTGGGGTGGGCATTTGTGTCGGTTTCGCAGTATGGGGATGGAGAGTCACGACCAGTATCGGAGGAGGGCTGACGCTGATGACGCCATCTCGGGGCTTTTCCTGCTTGCTCACTTCTTCGTTCATCGTGGCCGTCGCATCTAAACTGGGCTTACCAATCTCCACCACACAGGTTCTGGTAGGTTCGACGCTTGGTGTGGGAGCCGCTGACAATTTTAAGACCGTTGATTGGTGGTTGTTTTGGAAATTCTTTCTGTCGTGGGTTGTGACTGTGGCGGCTGCGGGTGGCATGACTGCCTTCTTCTTCGCCGTCTCGGTTTTTTCTCCAATTCAGCCATAGCTCCCTCCCTGAAAGGGACATGTATATATTATACCATACATACGGATGTTAGAAAAGAAAAGATTAAAAAGAAAAGCCCCAATAATGGTTATGACCACACAGCGCACGTCCCACACTTTACGTGCATGCAACGGCGGCAGTCGATACACAAATCGGGATTTTCTTGGTCACTAAATTACTGATTAATTACTGTCATTGATTCCTGTTTTCCAATTTGGAGTCAGACATTTCTTAATTCATGTGTGGTCATCCTTACGCACGGACTATGCTAAATTTCTCTCCTCCATCGTTCCAATTTGAACGGATGTACCGAAGGACAATTTACTGTTGCTGTCCTTTTCACTTGAGCTTAGATTCGAACTTCTTTTGTTATATTTTGTCAGGGTGTACAATTCGACGGACTCCTCGTACCCTTCTTTTATGGTTTTTGTTTAATAGTTTTGCAATTTGACAGGGTTTACCCGTCAAAAATTTCCCAAAATGGCGGGGCTCGTCCTCATTAGTCATTGGTTTTGCCTTTTGTGTATCGATTTGCTGTGGTGGTTATTTCCTTCATGCTTCGTGCCAGCCATCGACATGTATCATCATCGTGTACTCGATTGCGACTTCGAGATGGACATTCGTAGAATCATCATCATCATTATCATTGTTCATCATCATCCATTATCAGAACAACAAACGGTGGCAGCAGCGGCTTCGGCAGCAGCAGCAACAAATATCCGTGTTGTCATCGTCTTCTTCGTAGCAGCAGCAGCAGTAGCATCATTAGCATAAGTAGCAGAAGGAGGGAGATGCAGTAGATGGAGGAGGGAGGAGAGAAACGTGGGAAGAAACGTGGTGTCTAACGGTCACGAGGAGCAGAGAGGCAACAGCGACTGCTTGGCGCGGCTGGTGCTGCCTATGAATGGAACAATTAAGTACCGCCATCTTCCCCCGAATAGAACGCACCGTCATCAGGTATTTACACAAGCTATTGACCTTGTCTGATACGGTCATGATGGGGGTGCATTCTGTTCGTGGGAAGATTGTATGACTTTCTCAATGAAATCTGGCTGCAATTACCTTTGGAGACACCCCTTGTCTCAATATGTCTTAAGATGCCCGTCATTTTCCGGGTCTTTCAATATTCCTGTAATCCTAATTGTTCCCGGGAGCTTTGACGTGAACACCCGATCGTTCGTATGGAGGGAGAGAGGGGGCGCGAGGGTGGGCGGGGGGGGGGGAAGAGAGAGAGAGAGAGACAGAGAGAGACAGAGAGACAGAGAGAGCTTCTCTTTCGGCTTTTTTTGATTTTTTTTTGTGTTTTGGATAGAAGGGTCATTAGCGGGTGTATGGGACTTTGGACGAAAACACGTGGTCTGCAGTGACGGACGATGGCAAAATTTGACGAGCTAGTCCCCATCTTCCTGCCGCCGGATGTGTCAATCCAGTCAGCATGGTTTCCTTGTGGAGTTCGCAACAGATTGAAGGTACACCTGTAGCACCTTGCAGGATAGAATGGGTGTGTGGGACTTAATAAAGCCAACCCTTGCCATTGAATGAAGTAGAAGCTGAGGGTATTCTCACACGGGAACCAGCTGAAGGCAGTTTTCGGGTCACATTGGACAGGCCCGCCACCCAAATGTACTTTTTGGTGACCCTTTTGTCAGCAGCCTGTGGACCGTGGAAGGACCCTTTTTGAGACCACCTCCACGGACCTTGTCCCACCTGCACAACGGTGAGTTGAGCCAACTCAACGGTGTGACAGCATTACATGCCTTTTTAAAATCGAAAGAAATAGCCACTGCATTTATATAACTTTTAAAGGAAGGATAGAGGACCGTGCTTCCCCTGGGCCCAGGGAAAATGAGGCCGGCAGGTTGGATGGGACAGACGTAGTGCCCCGTTTGGGCGGGCGAGCCCGCCTGTTCATACGTTTTTTTTTCGGGGGCGCTTGGTACAGTTGCTGTTGGCGTGGCTTTATGAACGGGGTCCCTTTTCGCTGCCGGTTAGTTTCGCGCCGCGCCGTCCATTGCAGAAAGTGCTGTTCGGCAGGTGTCAGGCAGATTCAACCAGGCAGTGCATATTTCCATGTTCTAGCGGAAGATTCATGCACTTTATGCGGATCGTGCAGTTGGTGTTGGCACGACTTTATGAACGGGTCCCTTTTCGCTACGGGTTGGTTAGTTTCGCGCCGCACCGTCCATTGCAGAAAGTGCTGTTGGTCAGGTGTCAGGCAGATTCAACCAGACAGTGCATATTTCCATGTTCTAGAGGAAGATTCATGCACTTTATGCGCATCGTACAGTTGGTGTTGGCACCACTTTATGAACGGTCCCTTTTCGCTGCGGGTTAGTTTCGCGCGGGCACGATTGTGCAGAAAGTGTTGGGCGGCAGGTGTTGGGCAGATTCAACCAGGCAGTGTATATTTCCATGTTCTAGTGGAGGATTCATGCAATTTATGCGCATCCTATAGATGGAAGTAGTGTGAGGCCAGCCACGAGGTTGGAGACTTACCTGGTCTCTCTCTCTCTCTCTCTCTCTCTCTCTCTCTCTCTCTCTCTCTCTCTCTCTCTCTCTCACACACACACACACACACACTCTTCGCCACCGTGTGTATTTCCTTTTGTTTTTGTTATTTTTTGGAAAACTTGGTGTGTGGGGAAACCCACTTCACAAGGTGATAAGAGCCTCGCGTTTGAAGGCTCCAGCACCTGCTGGAAATCAGGTCCAGCGTCCCAATACAATGATATGATGATTGTCTGCTGGAAATCAGGTCCAGCGTCCCTATTCAATGATTTGTGGCGATATCATTAGTGTGCATCTGATACTCTGTGATACTATGTGATTGTGTTCCTTTGGTCTGTTTATGTCATGCGAAGCCAAATCCGTGTTCCACCATATCAGCCATGTTACTCTAAATAGCAGAGGCATTGATTACTTCCCTACGACAGGGAAGGATTGACCTCCTGCCATCAAAACCTATCCCTAGCATAAGCATTCTCATCAACCACCACTGCAAACAATCATCAAACACTCCACAAAACATATCAAACACATGAAAACCCTAAACACCCTACCTCCCACCAGAGGGGCAATCAACTCTCCATGTTGATTGAAACCGAGGGCCGGGCAATTCCAATCAACGAAGGGGACATGGACTATCTTTCACCCATCCGCTGCCAGACATCGAGGAGCGATTCAACAATGAAACAGAAGGGAGGGGGGGAAATAAAATGTTTTTCCAACTCTAATCCCCTCTTCCCCATCGTCGTCAGATCCCCACTCCTCTCTCCCTGTGACGATGTTGGTGGTTTTGGCGTTGTTGTTGTTGTGGCCGATGCTGATGTTGTTATTGTTGTTGTTGTTGTTGTCGTTGTTGTTGTTGTTGTTGTTGCTGCAGTTGTCACTGTTGTCGTCGTCGCCGCTGGCACTGCAGGCACTGTTATCTTTGTTGAAAGCACTGATGATGATGATGATGCATCTGTCATTTCTGTTATTTTTGTTGTTGTTGTTATTACCACTGTTGTCTTCGCCGCTGCCAATGCTGCTAATGATGATGTCGCTGTTGATTTTGTTGTTGGCGCTGAATCCTTCATTGTCTTCGCAGCCGCCGATATTGTTGTTGTTGTTGTTATTACCGCGGTTGTCTTCGCCTCTGCCGATGCTGCTAATGATGATATCGTTGTTGTTATCGCTGTTGGCACTGTAACCTTCCTTGTCTTCATGGCCGCCAGTATCGCTGATGTCGATGTTGTTGTTGTTATTGATGTTGGCACTGTTACCTTTGTCGCTGCCTGCGCCGCCTCCATGTCATATTCCATGTTCTAGCAGAAGATTCATTCCGGTTTTGCTCATCCTATCGATAGATGTGGCCTCTCTACTATATCTCTCTGCGCGCATGGATGGAGAGCAGTGTATATTTCCATGTTCTAGCAGAAGATTCATTCTGATTTTGTTCATCCTATTGATGGAAGTAGCCTCTCTCTATCTCTCTGCGTGCATGGCTGGCTGGAAAACTCTCTCTCTCTCTCTCTCTCTCTCTCTCTCTCTCTC